GAACATATCATGGACACTGCTTCGCTTGTGCAAAACAGGAAGCAGACGGTTCCTTCCTCGCCTTGCTTTGTGAAAATTCATGATGAGGCTGATTGTTGACAATCCGTTCAATTACATTCGCAGGAATTGGCAAACACAGCTCAGTATGATGACGCGGCATATTTCCATCAGCGGAGCTTCTTCGATAATGTCCGTTGCTTGACCCGCACAAAAAAAATCCAGATTAACGACAACCCAAATGAGAAGCATTGATACGGTTGGGCAAAATTTGCAGCCGGCTTAATATCAGGGGAACATGAGGGACACGGATCTGCGCATTGAAAATTCCACCGTATACAACACATGTAACATACGAATGCAGACAGTTCTGATTCCACACGGTCTGCAGAATGAAACTGTTGTTCTCTAGGAGAAGCCTCATTGAAATTCGGACCAGAACCTCGACATGAACAATCATTTGACGTTGTGTTTGCGACACCACATAACTAAAAGCAGTTTCTCCAGGTGGATCACTTGTGTGACATATAGCTAGGGATCGGTCCGCATTTCCAAATAAGTGACTTACAGCGTGATAGAACCCAACCAAGTCACCAATGCGAAGAACGCTGTTAAAGAAATATGTTCAAAAGAAATCTTTCGAAAGCGCTTTCCTTGCTAGAGCTCGGGATTCGTCTGACCAACTTTGGTTTGCAGGATTTTTTTGTCAATTAGTTTTGATTGGTATATCAAACCTTCCACAGGTTTGGGGAAAGCCTCGAGGTACCCTATCAGGAACATAGGAAGCAAAGAAATGTTGTGCAGCTGAAGAGAAGTGCTGGTCGGGTGGTCTTTGCTCGCATGGAATCTTTCTCTAGAATTGTGGGATCTTTCCCCTACCCCTTCAACGCTTTGATCGCTATTTCGTCCTCATTTGGTTTGCAATAATGTACTGTGTTTCGCAGATGTATACTTTGGGCTTTTGGAAATGGCCACGTGAACGATCTGCACATTTGTCATAAAGCGAGTCCTGGAACGGTGGACTGTAGTTGACATGAAATACCGGCATTTCATGTCAAGAGAGAAAAGTTCGGTCAAACTTCACTCTCTTGCTCCTACACTCTTTTCTTGGTGTTAGCGAAGGGTCTGTATTCTGATCGTTCGTGTTCGGTACTGCTTTTCGAGCGAAAGGACATTAGTGGCATGTTATACACGTTGGCTGCAGTTGAATGTTTTGTAGCATGTGGCTGAATTGTTTTATTGGGGTTTCGATCGACGAAAGTCCCAGGGACACGAATAGAGACGGATTGTTGCGACGAAGAAAAACAGTTGTGGTTTGGTACCGCTGTGGGCAAGAAACTGTGTGACCTGGAAAAGGTATGTACGCCTGTGTTGGGGCTGCCCACCGACCCCATCTGCCCGTGCCGGTGGACTCAGCCATAGAGTGGGACAACCACGCTCCCTGCGTGAGCTCTAAGGAGTGGCTTGAAGCATAATTCAAAACCCGCATCCTCCAAAAGTAGCCTGTTTATTCACCATTGTTCAATCCGTTTTCAGTCACCTCCAGAACTGGCGATGTGAGAGCGCACTGCGGATCTGCGATCTGGGCGCAAAAACAACCGTTGCGTAGTTCTCCCGGCCTTGTGTGTCCATCCGCCGCACCTTCAGTAGCCGATTTCCGCATTAAGATTCCCCCCATTGTGCAGAGTTCCGTGCTCTTCGCCTTTTAGAAAACCAATGTCCGTTCGCAAGCTCCAGTTGTTGTAGGAGTGGTGTAGTTCTTCTGCAACAGCACTCAGTTCCAGATGCATGGCAGTTGCGAGCCCAATACTGTGTTCCAAAGTCCACACAACACTGAGCTGCTGGCAGTTGCAGCGTACCAGTGGTAACAAGGCAGGCACCACCCTATGCAAGTCAGACCATTTACCATCAGATACACAGATTCCTGCAAGTCACGATGCCGGGATTGGTGGATGGTCACACAGTGTGGCCTCCACAAACGACAAAGTTTGACAGCATCAAATCGCTCAGTACTCTGGGGGAATTGGGAGATACATTTCCTTATATTTATATGGGATTCTGACTGAAGGCGCAAGGAAGGCTGGCGCAGCAAATCGGCACCTCGACACCACCGATTGTGGCAGTGTAATATTCACACGACATGCATGAATCGCAGAAGCGCCACACACAGCACATCACAGAGCCATGGCAGTGCGTGCATTGGCAGCCACATGCTCTCAAAAAAATCAGTTGGATGTCACGAAATGCTTAAACAGAGCACATGGGGTAAAGCAACCCTCATTTCTTGCCCATTAGACGTTAATTGGAAATCCCAGGTGTCCATAACCATCGACTCCGCCACTATCCATGTCGCTCGCGATTCCAGCAGAGGGATCTGAGCACTATCATCTCTGTTCTAGTTAATGTCACCATTCACATGGCACACATCTATACTGCCACTGCATCCTCTCACTTTTGCAGAGGCCTACACGGCCCAATCCCCACAGGCTAGGCTTAATTCTCAGTTGATCATGAATGACTGACATTCGCACCTGACCCCATTCGACATCAAAATTGCGCGCCCCAGTTATTACCACGCAGCAATAAAATGATAATCTCCCAACTGCCAGCCAGTGCTACCAACGACCACAATCTTACATTCCACAGTGCACCATGCGGGACTGCCAAAAGGGCAACACAGCTTTATCAAATACAGATGTGAAAAACACTGCCAGCAGCTTGAAGATGCCTGCAGATTTCAGGCGCTTGTGCCGATGTTTATTGGCTGTTCAGCAGTCTGATTGCAAATCGCCTGGCGCCCAGCAGCCCGACGTCTTGCTGCATTACCACGCTGACGGTGATGTCCTTGAGGAGATTGTGGAAGCGGCTGCCTTTGTGAAGGAAGGCCTCCTGCATCACCCCTGTCTTCACTCGATCCAGCAGCTTGGGAGTTATCCCTCCCGCAATATACACACCCCCTGGAGACAGCCTCAAACTTCAATGTCAACAAAGCACAGCCATTCCAAGTGCGACTGAGATATTTGGGCGGCAAGCGTGCCGGGGCTCGAGCAAGCGTTGCATACTGTGATACTGGGTGTTCTATCCATGCGAATTTTTTGGACAAACACAGCGCGTAAAGGTCACATGCATGTGCCATGTGGCCAGTGGGCCAGTGGGCCAGTGGGCCAGTGGGCCACATGGGCATGTGCCATATGGCAGTCCTAACAAAACAATTGGCGCTGATGAAAGGATGGCCTCCAGCACATAGTTCTTGCCCCTGAACACATGTTGGTGCACAGGTTGCTGCTGTCCCATTGACCTGGACTTGTCCATGCTTTTGATATGTCCCTGCTATGTGCAGTTGCTGTGTGACACCCTGTGCTGCGCAAGGAAATATAGGGGGATCAACAAAAGACTGTGCTGATTCCATTGGGGAGGTGGCTGATCATGTATCGGTTTGTCCCACTAACTGTAACTAGGAATCGTACATCGTGTGCGTGCGCAGATGCTAGTATACAAATGCTGCTGTAGCTAGGGCATCTCGATAATGGTCAAAATGATCAATTCTGCAGCAGATTACTAAGGGACAAATAGGGAGAGTATCGATTGTCCATTCTGTTGTGCAAACTGCACCTACACTCCACAACACCGAGCTAGTCCGATGTCTCATGGCCTGTCTAGTGTCCAGTTACGATAAGCAAATCAGTAGTGTCTATATCAGCAGGGGCATGCACACCCACCTCTTGCAAGACTACGCAGTGCCATGTGGCCAGCCTCTGCCCCAACAATTGACAGCATCAAATCCACTGCAGCAACAGCATCCGGGTCGCTGCCATCCAAAGCCTCACGGGAGATGTCTCTTGCCTGTGCCACCAACAACATCAGCCAACACATTGAACTTAACACATAGCAGTTGATATGTGATTCTTTACATACATTTGGAGACTTCTACAGCATTATCAACGGCATAGACAACAGCCATAGACACCATTGTTTACAAGCAAAACCAAATGCTGGCCTGCTTCCCTTGTTCTGCGACAAGCATACTGTGCCTGGAGGCACATGCTGCATACACTGGGTGGCGTCATATCTTGTCCATATATCCATGGAACACTGTTCTGCTAGACTTTTCCTTTACTGTGGAAGCTCTGCTGCGATGCTGCCCTGATCTGCTGCTCATACGATGTTGGATTCCCATCCGCACCTACACCCGATAGCCCAACATTGTTAGACTAGTGAAATAGTTTTGCTCTGCCATTCTATGTCAAAAGTCAGAAGCAGGCTTCAACCATCCACATACACACCCAAGGCAACATTGTGCTTTCGTTGTTTCTGTTCAAGCACGCTACTTCATTAACACTCTTGCCAAATGTGAGTCTTACTGCATTAGCAACGAAACAGGCCAAATCTTTCTTGCAAGGGCTGTGATGTGTTCAAGAGCAACAGCACACATCATCAAACCATTTGCCATTGATTGACTACAGACAAAGGTTCCAGAACAGGGAGCTGAGCAGCACCTTCTTTGGGAATTTGCCACCAGCCGTGAAGCTATCTGGATTTGTCAGGAATGCATATATCCTTTCGATTCCGCTCCCACACGCAACCTGTGTTGCAACACAACACATTCAGATGACAATTTTGTAGGTCTCCCATGCACCAGCAGCTACAACACATACCAGCACATGCCCGCTTCCAGCAGTCCAAAAGCTTCACCCATGGGGATAGCAATGTGTCCATTGCACCTGTGAAGGTTGTGCCAATGATCTATACACTGCCCCATGCGTTGCAACTCACTGCTGAAAGCAGCCCCATGGGCCTGCAGCCTGCAATCTGCTTCAGAAGAAGAGCATGGGCAACGATCCCACATCCAAACTGGTGCTCTGATGAGGACAACGAGAAGCAGGCATCTATTAGCCCGGTGCTCAGCAGCTCTGACTGTCTGTCAATTGATGGCTCAACCAACAATACCGCAGTTGGCCCTGGTCAAACACCACCTTTCAAAAGCACAGGCAAAGAACAACAGTGCTAAAGATTCACAGTGCTAATTTTGTACGCCGATAAGTACAGCATCATCACCCTCCTAATGAATCGTGACTTGGGACGGCAGGCTAGTTCACCATCCCACTGCAACAGAACATCTGTCACTACTGAAATTGAATCGCTTCCACTTACATGTTCGACTTCGCAAAATCCCAGTCCATCGACCACCCAGTTCCTGAGGTGAACCTGAATACTCCCCCTTGGTGCAAAATCAGCGTGTGATCCCTCAGATGGCCACACCCTGTAGTCATGTAAGCCGTCATCCCACATTAACTGAGCTTGGCCCAGCCCAGTTCCAGGTCCGATCACAATTTTCGGAGCCTAACAGCAAGCACAATAAAGAATGTCTCTTTCGGTACAGGTGTGACTGCCCAGATGCAGGTGTGCCTGATGGACTATCAAAACACTCGTACAAAAGCAGATCTGGTATTGTGCACCCTTGGCATCTGTGGCCAGAACAACCCCCAGCTCCAGCACTGGTACCAAACGCCTGGATCCCAACAAGGCCTGGTTGTGTACATGCCACAACCCTCACTGTAGAGCAATTCACCTCCCAATATCCAAGGCCAGCAGAGAAACGCTATCCCCAAATACTCAGCACTGGTTGCAACGAACTGTGGATGTTTGGGTGTCTTCCTGGGCAGTTGCTCAGCACAAATAATAGACAATGAAAGCTGCAGCAACGCTAGTTAGAACAACGAACAATCTGGTCCGTTTCACAGGTGTTGACAGATCCACGGCAGCCTCCCACTCACCCCTTGCACAGTACACCCCTCGTTGACCACGTGCAAGTCAGAGTCTTGCAGTTCTAAAACGCCATAGCCCTGAGCCTCAAAATCGTTCATGACTGCAACTCTGTTCACACACACAGTAACCATCAAGCAGCTGCACACAGGCTGTGGCAACAAAGCAAAGGGACGCGCGTACAAAGGGGATGCGCTTCTTGTCCTTATGACCTTCACGAACAGCACTTCCACAGCCAGCGCCGGCCCCAAGTCCCACCTCCAGCCGTATTTCCTCTCTATTTCTTGCCCGTCAATCGTCCAGTTCAAGTTGGTCATTTGTCCCCTTCCGTTTTGTACAGGCCCCGCAACGGCGAAGCACGCGACGCTGGGAGAGGCGGCTTGCACGGACTGCTCTGATGCCGCAGCGTCCAGGACGTCAAGAAACGTCGGGTAGTCCTTAGTGGCATACCACTGCCAGTACATCGCCCGATGGAAGTCAGTGCTCCGCCATCGCAACTGCCACCGGGACCAGGCGCGGCAGCGCTCCGCGCGCGCAAGGGCGCGGCTCACAAAGGCACGGAACTACCGACACGGGGCGAGACCGGCCCGCAGAAGGGAACAAGTCACGGATTGCACACCTTCTCATAAACGGTCGACACCTCCTGATCGGCCCCGATGCTCGCCACGGACAACCGGGCATTGGTGCCCCCAATGTCGCCCACGAGCACCGTCCGCGTGGCCACACCTCGACCGTTGTCGGTCCGCACCGTGGACCCCGCCTGCATCACCGGCGCGGCGAGTGAGCCTCCGAGGCCGAATTTCCCCAAATGGACCGACTCGCGATCATCCCCGCCCAAAGCGGAGGTGCGCAGCAGACGGCCTCAGTGGACGGCGGTCGGATGGGCGAGCAAGGCTGGCCCCGTGGACGCCGATATGCGGCAAGGGTCAACAGGCGTCAACCCGTCGCGGGGACCGCAATCGCGCTCTCAACCCGCAACAGTTGAACACGATTAGCCAATCCCGTGTGGACGGGGGTCCATGTCCGTGCGAAAGATGCGTCCCTCATTTCAGGAAAGGGAGCCCCATGGGGTCACGGAGCGCCGATCTGGTGAGCCTTGGCGACGGGTTGAGCGCGAAGGGGCGGCACCTGGGCTTCGGACCGTATTGACGCCGAAGGCAACTGGGGCGCGGCCCTGACGAAGGGACTGCCCCGCGGCCGGGCTTGCCTCCTTGCCACTCGCTCCGCCCGGCGCGCTGCATTCAAGCCGTGGGGCCGCGCCAGGGACGGGGGCCGTATGCCGACGCGGGGTGCGTCCAATGTGCCCATGGGCAGCGCGTGGAGTGCAGTCATCGAGTTCAGGGCCGGCAGCACGAGGCGGGTATGGAGGAGGCAGCGGGCCCCCCTTTTGGTGACTGGGGCTGCTGGCCCCCCCTGGTGCTTTTGTTTCCCGTGCCGTACGGGCCCTGCCGAACGGCCTCACGACAGCTAATCTGTGCTCTTGTCACGCGGCCGAGGGAAACAGACGCTGCGCTTTTCTTTATTATTTAATTCTGCAAACCCGTGTTACCATCAACACCGGCACAACGTTGCGCCCGGCATTGCGATTTCCTGACCGACCAGGAAACTGCCTTTCGTGTGCGTTAGGGCCTGTGTTGTTTTCCCAACGGCGGGTTTCGCTTTCCTTCCTGGCATGTGCTTGCACTGCAGTTGCGAGCCGTCTGGCCCCTGGGGCCCAAATATCTGCGGTGGTTGTGCAGCAATGTGGTAAAAGGGGTGCCCCCCCCCCGCCCACAGCTGTCGACCTACGCGTAAGGATGCAATGCGATGGTGTGCGTACGCCAATTGACCTATGGCATGGACTGTCAATTCCTCGACTGTAGGCTGTTTGAAACGTAAACCAGCCCACACCAATGCTGTTGTCGAGCGACTTCGCCAATTGAAGGACCCACGGGTTGGACCAGGCGTTTCTGCACACGGCGCGGTTCCACTTGCACCGTTGGGAATGGGGGCTGGTGGGCGACCACATGTGTCTCGTGCATATTTCCTGGGTGCAGCCAACTTGGATGCATTGTGCGCATCTAAGTTGGCTGCCTTGTCCCGCGCGGGAATCCCGTCGGGAATCCCGCACGCCCTAGTACTTTAGCGGCGACTCGAGAGAGCAGCAAGCGCACGGGCTCCCTTGGGCGCAGTTCGCGGCGCGGGGCTGGCACGCAGTCAGTGTGATGCCGAAGTTCTGAAGGGGACTTGCAGAAATCGGGCAGAAGCCTTACACGGCGGGCGAATTCGTCATGCGCTTGGATGGGACGTGTGTGGTGCACGCCGCGCAGCCTGGATCTGCGGAGCGTCTTATCCGCTTCCCAGTCCGACAGGATGTCTGACATGGCGGTTGAGGCCGGGGCTGTCAATCTGACCGGGGCCATCCCGTGCCGCTCAAAGGCTTTGGATCGGCGATTAGGCACCGCTTTGGGAACGTCATGCGTCGTGCCGTGGGGGCGGGCCCAGTGCATACGGCCTGAACGTCTTCGCATTCAGGCCGGAGGGCGCGATCCCCGTTTTTTCTTCAGTAATATATCGGCTGGCCGCGGGGATCGGTGCAGGGGTGTCAGAAGAGGCCCGGAGGGTCGGCGACTTCCCAGTTGCCCTCGAAAACCGAAAAGGGGTGGCCGGGTGGAAAAGGGGTGTAGTCGGCGGTGTGCGGTTGGTGGAGTCGGCCCAACCGCACGGAACGCTGCCCGCAGATCGATTGGTGAGCCGCCTGTCAAAATGGACGGGTGGGCAGGGGGAAGGGCTGGGGAGTGGGGAACGCGAGCCGCCCAGTGCCGCGGCGCAGCCGAGGGGGCTAATTCACGGCGTCGGTGCCGGCGTCCTGGCTCGACATGCCCTGGGCTTTGCGCAGATGCACGGTGACGCGACGCCGACTGCTGCGTGCGCAGACGCAGAGGTTGTTTGAGGTCGGCGGGAGGCCGCGGGGCAGGGCGGTGGGGTGATGGGGAGCGGCTTGCTTTCGGGGACCCTGTAGATGGCGCAAAGCGGCTGGGCGCAGCTTTTTGGCCGTCCGAGGATGCATCCCGCGAGCGTCCCCCGCTTATGCGTCGGCCTCGACCGCCCCCTCGATTCCTTTGACGCGGCCTGCCGCGTGGCGGCGCGCCGAGCGTGGAGCCCAACTGCGAGCGGCGTGGGCAATCAGGCCCGTCGCACTCTCCCGTTGACGAGAGACATGCGAAGTCCTTGCCCTGGTGGTGGGTCTCTGATCGTGAGCGCCGTTGCCTGTTTGCCAGACCCCCGGTGAGGCGACAAGGATGCGCGACATGGGCGAAGCGCGGGCCTGCGAGGAGGCGCTGTCCGCCTCGCTAGATATGAAGGCCATCGCCGGCAACGGCTTCACCCCCCTGACCTTGGGCATCCACGGCATTTCGGACCTTTCGGTGGCCGCGGCTCCGGTCTCCGATACCTCCAGGGACGCCGAAGGAGGGCTCGGGGAAAAGGTGAGCATCGGGAGGCCGGGGGGGATGGAGCACAGAGCGTTGGCGGAGGTCGGCCCGTTTGTGTAGCAGGCCGGCTGGAGGCGAAGGAGAGGGATGGGGACATGCTGGGATGTACACATTGTGTTGGGTGCCCGCCTGCTGCCGGGCTGACTCGGCGGGTTCGCGGGTGCGGCGGAGAGGACGGGGGAGGGCGGAGCTGCCCGCCGCGAGCCTGTCCAACCTGGCCTCTGTCGTCGTGTGTGTCCGTTCGAGCGTGTTGCATTTGCCGCTTGGCGTTGGGGTGTTCGGGCACCAGGCTCGGCCTTCGAATGGGACTGTTCGATGCTGATCCTCACGTGCGCGTGCGCGTGGACAGGAGACCAAGATCGACCTGGATGCCGCGGTGCGCGCCGTGGACGTTGCCCTGGCGGGGCTGGACCTGGGCTCCAAGCGGCCGCCGACCGGCCTGCCGCCCAGCCCCAACGAGCAGAAGCGGCCCCAGAGCACCCTGGGCTGGGGAGCTAGCTCGCCCCAGAAATTCCAGGGCTTCAAGGCCGCGGCGCCGCGCCGCAGGGTCCCGGCCTGGCCGGAGGACGGCCCCCAGCTCTCCCGGTCCGAGTCGCTCAAGGCGCCGGAGCAGCAGCTGCAGCTGCAGATCCAGCGGGGCTTCCAGGAGCCCCGGTTCCGGCCCGCGCAACACTCGCCTCCCGCCGCGAGCAACCGCAGCGCCCTGCGCTTCCTAAGCCCCGGCAGCGGCGTCGGCGGACTGGCCCACGCCTACACGGCGCCCGCCTTCCCCAGCACTGGGTGCTTCGCTCCCGATGGGGACAGCGGGGTGGGCGGGTTCAGTCCGGTGGGGATGCGGTCGCCCGTGCAGGGCGTTGCCTGGGACGGGTTGAACGGCCTTTCGCCCCAGGGCGCCTACGCGGACTGCCTGCGCGCAGTTCTGCTGCAAAATAAACCAGCCAGCCCCTACGAGTCCAAGGCCGTGGGTTTCGGCACCGGCAACGAGTTTGGGGCAGGATCTGAGATACTGGCCAGCGTGCCGCCCTACAGGGCGGACAGCTGCCCGGAACTGCTGTCCGCCTCGCCGCCTTACACGCTTGCAGCCAACGTCGAGCGGTCTGCCACAAGCTTTGGAGGCCTGGGCTGCGGGAGGCTCGAGTTGAACCAGAACCACGACATAGGCCTCCACAACCTGCCGGAGTCCTTGGACCTGTTCGATGAGGAGGGTCTCTGGCAGCAGCCCGACTTCCTGCCAGATGTGGTTCCGATCGGCAAAGCAATGGACCCCAAGACGAAGTCTGAACAGGCCATGCTGGTGGCCATTACAGGCATCCTCAAGTGTGCTGTCGAGGGAAATTTGACACCCAAGGATGTGCTGTCGGACCTCAACTTCTTGATCGTCACTGTGCGGCGCCACTTGGCGGAGTACCAGGCCTTGTCGAATGAGGCTGCTGAAACCCTGCAGCTGATATGCAGCACGCTGCCAACAGTGTGCAAATGTGCACGATTCAGCGGAGGTGAGCACCCCTTGCAGTTATTTGTCTTCTGCAGCTGATACAAGCATTGCTGGCACTCTGCATGCCTGAACAGCCTGCAACTGTTTGTCATGCCATTGTACTTTGTGGGGCCTTGGGCATGCTTGGGAAGTGTGGTGCTGCATTGAATCGAATAGCAGAATAACAAAATGGAGTGTCTGTCCCATGCTTGGTGATTTCACAGCGGTCAACAGGGTCGATATCCACACCGTGAATGGCACCAGTGACGTCCAGCTGTTGTCCAGCTGAACCTTTGCAGATGTGCTGAATTGGCTATGTTTGGTGTGTACAGATGTGATCGACTCTCTCAAGCGTTTCATGCAGGTCATCTGTACCGGCCACCCACTGTTGCAGGCACAGGGTAGCTGCCTGAATAGCTACGACCCTGTGGACAACTTCGAACCCAGGCAGCACAGTGAGGTTCAGCACTTGCTGAGGCGGATTCATCGCAAGCTGACTGGTGGAACGACCAGCAAGGGTGTGCAGCATGTGGCTCATGCACTGTATGATGCAGTGGGCGACAAGTGCAGCTTGCAGAGCTCAAGCACAGGGGTGGACGTTGAGAGCCATGGGAGCTCACCCAAGTCGTTCGGGCAGAGTCTCCTTGCTTCTCGAAGCACTGTTGCAGGGGCTCAATCGCCAGGCTTTAGTGATGGGGATGCAAGTTCAACCACAACAGGTGGGTGAAAGGGTGAAAGTGTGCATGTGTGTTTAGTGATGTCCAAGCTACCTCTACTTCCCTGATTGTTGAATGCTGATTCAGAACATGCTACACGCCAAACTGCAAAGGCAGTCGAAGACTCGCTCCCTTTCTGCCACCTTATGTGAAGCTAAACAAGCATCCAGTTGAAAGCCTGGCAGTTGTGTGGTGATCATTGTCTGGCAGTCACAGTTGTGACTTCTGTTTTCAGGACAGAAAATCAAATGATGGACTGGGTATGTGCTGCATCGGGTGCATGTTTGTTGCCTCGGGTCTTTCCCTCGTGTCTCTTTGGGCTGTGTGTTGATAGGGCAACCAAATATCTCTCTGTGGTGTGTTACAGTTGGCTTCAATGAGTGGAGCTGGATATGAATATGTTCAGATACGTTATTTGCTGGGGCGTGCAGTGTGTAGGGCTGAGCATGGTGCTGCAATATGTGCCTGAGCAGTGGCTAGAGTAGGTTGTCCTCGTCCATCTGCTTGCGTTTGGCGACATGGGAGTACAGTGGCTGGATCACTGCATCCTGATGGCGCCATGTCAGGCAGTTTGCAGAAAATCTGCTTCTCTTTGATCGATGCGTAGGAAGACTCATATCACCTATATAAGTTGTACCATAAATCACATGGTTGTGCAGACTTGTCATTGGGAGAAGGACAGGAACAGAACCTGGACGAGGGCAAGCACAGATAAGAAACAATTGTGGGCAGCATTGAACACAGGAATGATGAAAATCATAAAGAGGGTGTGCCACTAGCGGCTCTTCATCATTCACATAAACAGGCTCTTTTTATTTTGCTGTCATCAAGAGTAGGGTGCCTGGTGGTTGGCCTTCCAGCTGGCCATCGACTTGTTCAATGTCTTGTAGCTTGGCCACTTTTGAAGTGGACTGGCCTCTTTTTGAGTAGAGCACTTGGCCACAAACACGACAGATGTTAGCAGAGTTCTGGGCTGCTGCTCTTGGCGGCCACCTTTAGTTGTTGGCTTCTGGGGTTTGCAACCGCAACACAGTTTCTTTTTGATGGATTGGTAGCATATGAGAGGGAGGGTCGGTGTCATTTGGAGTCGAGTGCGTTGCTGGACTGCAGCGTCTGGTGATCGCAAACTCTGTTGTGGCAAGACTCCTCAGTCGGCGGATGGAGAAATTTAGTGGTTGTGGCTCCAGGGGGATGCCAAAGGTTGGTTTGATGGGGAACTCCTCCTTGTCTGATTGACCCAATGAGCGGAATGTGCGTGAAGGAAAGGGAAGAGATGACGACAGGTTGGAGTGAGGATCTCCTTGGAACTTCAGGAACTCGAACTGGTCTGCATCGCAGCGGCAGATTGTGACTTGATAGGCATGGTAGGCTTTGTGGATTGGAGGTCATTCCGTGTCGAATGGTGTCCTGTATCATTTGGGCTATATTGTTATAGATGTGTATTGAAGTTTCAGGCGTGGATGGCAACTGTCGTCTGCATTGCCAGCAGAGTGCCCTTGCATGGACGGCGGTACCAGCCCCTGCTATTCATTTCCGAATGGAATAAAAAGGAATAACAAATGACGACGATTGCTGTGAATCATGAGCCGGGGGTTGTTTCTCGATCGCCCAATTCAATCCCATCATTCCGGAATTCTTGTGTGTCTGGTACTCATGGCTCATGGGTGCTCGGTTGTGGTCTCGAGTTGCCCTCTTGGGATAGCCAGTGGGAGACGTGACATTGGACATGCTGCAATGAACGGTTTGCTGCAGGAACTCGACGCAAATATGTCACCGAGCACAATCGGCGGATTGCGACAGCTGTGGGCATCAGTGGCTGAGCGATCTTTGTTTATGCGCGCTTAGGATGATAGGTTGAGGGCTAGAGGCAAATGATCCCTCTGTGGATACACATTTCGCAGAATACACATGTAATGTGACTGGGCATCTGTGCCATGTTTCAACTGCTCTCTGGGGTTGTCGCTGCTGTGGATTCTTGTTCTAAATGCCCTTGCCTGATGCTATTGTTTGATAGTTGTTGGTGGAGACTGTTCCCAAGTCATTGTCCCTTGACTTCATGCCGATGAATTTTCGTCTGCATGCCTTATGCCTTCTGTTGTGATGTCGATCTGGACAAAATACTGTTGTTCCTCTTGGCCATGTCAAATGTCGGCATACCATTTCTGCCTTACCGGTCTCCTGAGCCCACCCCGTCATGTACCCCCATGACAATAATTACAAACACCGTTAACTTTCACATTCCCGAGGTTCCCGTCCTTTAAACTTGCCCATTCGCTTCGCTAATACTTCAACGCCACTTCAGTGAGTGACTCCCCATGAGTCAGCTCCCTTTCCCGTACTGCACTCCCTCAACTCCCTCTCCATCCCACAACTAACCCGAACTCCACTATCCAGGGCGGGAGGGCTGGGTGCGAAACAAGATAAGGAGGGGGACCGAGGGGCTGCCTAAATAGCCGCCCTCCGCTGCCCCGCCAAAGCCTGCCAAACTCGAGGGCGCCCTCGCGGGCGGCACCTCGGAATACCATACTCTGACTGACCCACGGTACTAGGGGTGGCCAGAAATCCCAAGGGACGGGGTTGAGTAAACCCCAGGTTCAAACTGCACCGTTTGAATCGCCGGTGCAGCCCACCCATCGTCGCCCTTGGCAGAAACCCATTAACAGGATAGTTAACTTCATTTCTGCCTTACCGGTCTCCTGAGCCCACCCCGTCATGTACCCCCATGACAATAATTACAAACACCGTTAACTTTCACATTCCCGAGGTTCCCGTCCTTTAAACTTGCCCAGTCACTCTACGGGAACTCGAGGCCCCTCCGGGGCAGAAGATGTGCCCGAACTGCTCATGCAGGTCGCGGGCGGTGATGGTCATCCAACCGAACAACCGAAAATCCCACTCAGTGGGTAAACGAAAAATATCTATGTACGACCACAGTGCGTCTGACTTCCACGCACCCCAATCCCGAATACGCCGCTCCGCGACCTCCAAGGCGAAGCAACTGGACGCGCCCCCACCGCGCAGGCCATGATGCGTGAACGGCTCTTGGGCGAGGTCCGGAAAGTGCGCGAGGAGGGACGAGAACCAGGAGGCCACGGTCTTGGACGAAGGGGTGGCGTCGCCGGGAAGGCGGTAGAAATGGCGCGGCGGTTGATCCGTCTGCGCCCAGGCGTGATCGCGGAACTGCGTCCACCGGCGCAGCAGGGCGACGACTTCGGGGGCGCCGCGAGAAGGCCATGAGCGGATAGCGCGACCGGGGCTCCTCCCCGGGGCGCAGCTTGGTCTTGCGCTCCGGAAGACACGACCTCCTCGTCGATGCGGACGTCGTCGACCAGAATGTAATGGCCCGACTGGGCCCGGTTGAAGAAAATGTAGGCAAGGTGGGCCGCGCACGCCGCCCGAAGGGTGGGCCCGTCCTCGGTGGTCAGGCCGACGTCCAAAATGCGGAGCATCAGAGAAATGGGGACCGGGCGGCGATGCTGCAGGGGGAGCGCCGTCGCCAAGCGCGGGTGGGGATGCGGGTGACGAATTGGCGGAAAGCGAGATGACCAGCGTGGTACATCATGAAAATGGCGGCCAGATATTGGGGCAGGGACCGCACGCCCACCTTGCCTTCCTCCCGAAGAAAACGAATGTAGCGGTAGATGGAGGCGCGCCGGGCGGGGAGCGCGGCGAGGTCGTGCGCCTCGCAAAAACGCTGAAACCGCGAGAACTTGGCCTGGAGAGTCCGCCGAGTGGCCTCCGTGTAGGACTGCAGGAACTAGTGCTCCATCCAGCAGCGATCGTTGTGGAGCAGGCCGTCCAGGTCCGTGCCGTACAGCGGGTCATCCTCCGCCAGCGGCTCCAAGGGAATGTCGTCCGCCGGCAGCGCCTCCGGCGGGGCGGGCGGGGCCTCCGACTGAATCACTTCTTCCTCCGATTCGGTCTCAGATGGCGTGGCGTCCTCTCGCGCGGGCACACATGGAACGCCCGGAGATTCCACCGCGGGGGGGGAAGGGACGCCGGGAGACTCGGGTCGCCGGGGAGAAAAAGGTCGGCCTGGCGGGGAATGAACATTTCCGCCCGGGCGATCGCTCGGAGCGGGCAAAACCACACCGCGCTCGGCCAGTCGGGCGCCAGCACCACCGCCTCCAGCTCCGGCCGTAAGACGAGGAAGGACACGAGCCTCGCGAGGAGGCTCCACGGGGGATTGCACCAGGACCTGGTGCCGCTCCAGTCTTGCTGGAAAGCATCCACTCCTGCCGTACCGACGTCCCAGTACTGACTGTTGAACTGGGCGCAGAGGGCATTCCGGGCGGACGCGAATCGGTCTACAGAACAGGCCCCGAAGCTGCGGGCGACCGCCTGGAATGTGCGCGGATTCAGGCGGTAGTCCTCCGAGGTCCGTATACGGGAAAGCCGGACCGGCAGTACGTTCTCTGCCGAGGGAATGTACTCCGGCTCCAGGAGAATCCGGCGTGTAGTACACACTGCCTTCAACTGACGTAAGGGCCTCAAGAGACTGGTGGCCCTGGTAGTCATGGAAAGGAGACAGTGCAAAACCACCTGGTTGTCCACCAACAAACGAACCCGCCGGGAAGTCGTCCCGGCATACCGGTGAGGAAAGAAACTGAGCAGGGCCAAGTGTACGGCCTGCATTTCACGAACATTAATATGAATAAGCTCCCGATCAAAAAATCCCCTCGCAAGCATGGGCTCCGCCTGGCCCAAAGACTGAAACGTCGCCCCCCAACCCGTAAGGCTTGCATCCGTTGCAAGTGTGCCCAGGAAGGGCAGCGAACTCGGGTGGAGAGCCCGGCCGGCAAGTCGCGAAATGTTTGTCCATGCCAAAAGGTCCAGGCGGGCTTGGGGGGTCAAACGGAGGCGATCCCGCCACGATCGTTTCCCTCGTAATAACTCATAAAGACTCATCAAGAAAAAGCGGGCCAGCGGAAAGGCCAAATACAACGAAATGGCAGACCCACAGAATTGAGCCAAATGTTGCGCCACTACCCCGCCCGATTGAA